AAACCCCAAAACCCCAAAACCCCTTGAATAAATTTAATTAAAGAAGACTTAAATTAAAATAAATGAATTATGATTGAATATAATGAAAATTAATTCTGCAAATTTCTTCGTTTTTATGTTAGGAAATCATCAAATGTGTTCTTTAAAATGGACATAAAAATATCAAGTCTAGAAGATTTCTTTAGATGGTATGCTAGCAAGTATTAATCCTTATTCACTATATCTGTTAACTCTATGAAGAAATTTTGTTTTTTTCCCAATAGCCTTTATTTTATTTTAAATTTCTTTTAGACTTTCTCTTATTAATAAACAAGAAAGTATCTTAAGTAAAAATGTCTAAATTCGTAAAATCACTTTTACCTTAAACTAAAATCCCTCTATCTTTTTTTAATATGCTTTTAATGAACACTTTTTAAATTTTAGATTAATTCTATTTACTTTCTGAGAAGCGTCTTTGAATAAATAATTTATTCTTAAAATAAACTTTTAGTTACTCCATTGTTTGGCTCAAAATTATACTTAGATTAACACTCATATAAATAGCAGTAAAAATAATTGGAAAATATCCTAATCTCTCTCTTATTAAAAGGTTTGAAATGTCATTATTTACAAAAGGCAAAATAGAATAGCAAATAATAAGCAGAATAATTTCATTAAATACCTAAAGGTTATTGCGAGATTAATCTATCATTGGCTTATATTGATAAACATAGAGAAGAATAAAAAGCGTCGTTAATAGGATAGTCAAGACTTAGATAGGTGGACTCTCATCAAATATCAATAGTACTAAACAATAAAGCAGCTTCCTTAAAGTCATTAGCGGATAATACAGTAGGCAATTAATGCTATTTTGTCTCAGATCTTGGTAATTAATTGTGACATATATTCCAAGAGTTAGGAATCCTATAACCTGAACTAATAAAAGTATGCTTAGTGAAATACCAAAAATTTCCCCAGTATTGTTCAATTTAATCTATTATTATTCACAATTAAGAGCTGAAAAATTTACTTAATATAGATTAATTAAGCATGATAAAGTGAGTTCAATGTAAGTCTCCTCAGCAAATTGAAAAGGTAAACTGAGAATCGAAAAATTGTAAAGCTTCTTTAATGCTAAACTATAAATTATTATACTTAAAACTTTTATATTACACTCAATTTGTGAGTCCAAAAAGCCTTGTTAGCATTGAAATAGATATTAAACCAATGTGTCCAAGATATAAATAGAAGATTGTCCCCAAATTTATTACTGCGTTATAGGAATCGTAGTTCATTTGCTAGAAGTTCATGTTGAATGATTCATCATCAAAGCTGTTAAAGTTCAAGTAATTTTAGTTTAAATCTTAAATAGGTACTAAATTGAAACTAGATATGTCATTCATAAAGCAGAAAAAATATTAGGCCTTCACAGGAAGAATAATTGCTATTAATGGTAAATGAGTTATCAATTAAAGTCCATTTATCATGCTCCATATATATTAAAGTCCATAACCCCTTTAAGTTTTAAAATGAATCTTATAATTACATAAATAGATTTGAAGCTACACTCCCACCTGTTATTGCCACTATTGACCAAGTTACAAAATTTTAAACTATCGCTGAAGATTTCTAACTCTCTAAAATATAAAGCTGATTTTTCTTACAAGTTGATATTTGTGGAGGTATAAGAGCAGTTAATATAAGATTTTCTTTGATATAAATTTTATTTCTCAAGGATTTATAGTATTGTTGTGATATGAATCTTATTTTTAGCACATCATACTAAATAGAATAAATTTGATGACAAGCTTACTTATCTAATTGATATTTAGTCTAAGTCTACTTAAAATTCAAGTTTCAACTTTATTTGATAAGAATTGAATGCTATTACTGTATAATTAACCTAACTTCGATTTTCTCCTTCTTGCACTAATTCTATTTACAATGTGTTTTTTAACTAATTTTCATAGTTAATCAGGGGATTTAGTTATTCATTAAATACGATAGATACAATTTAGAATGAAGAAATCTTTCTTATCTTGGCATTTATATTTCCTAATTTCTTATTGTTTATTTAGTTTTATCCAGAATTTTCAATGCTTAAATTATTCTAATCGAGAGAGCTTATATTGGAGTTTGATTAGTAAAAAGTCTTTGAAAAATTTCCTGGTAAAATGGTGATCTAAAATTAGTACTACCTAAATATAGAGCTATCATTTATCTCAAAAATATTAAGTTTAATAGAATGAATTCTCAGCTGCAAAAAGCATTCAGGCCAAAAATATATGATTAAATCTCTTAGGAAAGCTTTAGTCAGTTTAACTCCATCGTTACCAATTATTTCAATTCTATATTCATTATACTCATCATCGAACACTCTAGGCAATATATACTCAGATTGCATACCACAAATAACTACTTAATCTAGAAGATTATTAATAAAATATGGTGGATGGTTTTTATTAACAATAACTTTAGAGGCTACAGTTAAATTGAAAGAAGAAATTAGATTCTGATATTAGCTATTATATATACCACTTTCAATAAAATACTAAAAGTAAACTTTATAATCTCCATTACTATATTCATCTTTCGGGGCAATTATGATAAATGATTGATTATCATTATCTAAAATAATATAAGGGTAAGAATCACTCTACTACAGTTGCTAAAATTGAATGCTACCACATTTTTTAGGATGCTAAGTAAATTGAGGAAAATTAATCGATTAGTTCTTATCTCCTACATATATAGTTTAATTGTAAATCTAAGAATCACCTTGAAGATCTGTAAAATATACACAACTTTCCATGAATATAGTAAATTCATATTCATTACTTGAGGAATAGATAAATGATCCAATTTAGAACGTGGCTTAATAACCTATTGTTGCCCAATCTGAATAATTAGTAACTCCTAGTTATGATAAAATTGTTTTGTTTATCCTTAATTCATGATCAGAGTTAATTGAAATACTATTACTGTAAAATGTTAAGGTGATGTTATTCACCTAATTATTTAATTAGAATTGTAGATTATAATCTTCTTTACAGTTTCCCATTTAATAGCTTGCTATAAGAATATCACAATCATCGTCCTCAATTTAACAAATTTACACATCATTTTAAGTTACTGTAATATTTGTTGATATATTTTTAAATCTATTATTGGAGCATTCTTTGTTTTAGATATCGCTCATAATATTTGACCGTTGATCTTAAATACTAAAATTTGTTAAATTTGTCGAAATTAGCTTATCAGTTACTTGTACAAATTATTGTACAACAGTATATTCTAGAATAATAACATTCATTGTAAAATCTGGGATTTCTTAATATAACGCTAACGAGATATAAGTTTCTTAATTGCAATTATCTGCCTAAAGGCTAGATAGTATAGCAGAATAATAAGGTGATTATAAAGTTCTTATAACATACAAGTATTTATTCTTTAAAATAAAACTATCAATATCTCCCCATTACTTAAATGGAGCTAGTAAAAATTTCATTTTTTTGAAATCCTGAATTTTCAATTATGTGTTCAAATTTCTATTGGTTGACGGGCCTGTATTTTAGAAAACTTGATCTTATCTAATCTTAAAAATTAAAATATAGTCGATACCATTTTCTATTTTTCATAAAAGGAACTCAAAAACTTAATCTCTAAAGATAAGATTTTAGCAAGAAACTGACTCTTATAAGAAATGAAGATTGGTGAATTAGTTGGTTGCTTAGCTATGCATGATAATCCCTGCTTAAGTGCCTGTCCTAGTTTAATACTAATAGCATAAATAGTAAACATCACGAGTTTGATCGTAGTCAATAAAAGGTATTCTATTATTTGTCATAATATCTCCAACTTCGTTCTCTGACTGCTTGTAAATTTAAGGAGAAATTATGTTTAATGAAGTCAAATCAGCTTAAGAGACAAAGATTCTTTTCTAATCGGGGCTAAAAATCAAGCCTGCAACTATATTAAATTTGATTTGGGGTTATTAAACCGTAATGCTGTGATGAAGATTGTGTATCCTTTTTTATGTTAATAGCATATTTATTACATTATTTCAGATAGGTTTAAATCTAATTTAAGCATGTAGTAATGGTTGGATTCTTGCTGGTTTACTACAATATATATATTGTCATCATTGACTTCAATAAGCTAATAATCATCATCTTATTGTCTACCCTAGATAGCAATTCCTTTTTCGACATAACCTTATTATTTTTATCAATTTATTTTTAAAATATAGGAATTTTTATCGGTAGAGTAAATCATCCCAAAGATAGAATCTTTTGTAATTTTAATCCCTTTAAATCTTCTAAAATTTGTATTATTATAGGAATACATCCATAAAACTGAATAGATGGGAT